TAGTATATAATGTATTTATGGTATTATGTAATATTTTTATGGTATAAAAATCTATTCATATATTCAATATATATTAATGATTTGTTTCACAGTTTACTGTTAAAAAACGAGGGATAAGATGATTATTTATTTACTGCTGGATTTTCTTTTTATATATAAAAAAAAAAAAGAAAAATTCTTCTTTTGCCCCCCCCCCCCTGAGTCAAGGGCCCTTAGAATCTGCCTAACATATGGCGACCCCGTTCAGCTGTATTATCAAGTGGTGTAATATATATATTTTAACATTTTAGATGATTGTGTGTTAATTGCGACTGAATCGGTACCAATCAGCTGTACTGAATACAAAATGAAATGACTAAGGAGTGCTTGAAGTTAAAAATTTCTGCTTTTTCTTCTTTTTTTAAGAGATATGTATGAAATGTCTTTAGTTGAGCCGGATGAATATAGCTGTTCCTCCATTGGCGCATGCTTTGGCGTGCCAGTCCAGTACAGATGTGTCTCTCTTTGCATAAGTCAGTCCCTAACTTCCTGTTGCTGACATTTCAGCTGTGCGTTTAAGAGCTTGCTGGGTTCTGAAAAGGTTGTCATAGCAAAGTGTCAGGCGGCGTCTCCTCTTCTCCTTTAGGCACTCAAAGCTTCTCCTCGCTCCTCCTTTTCCAGCTTTATAACCTGCTGTCAATCATAGAGGGAATATGTTTACCTTTCCTGCTTTTATTCTTCTGTCTTAATTGCTCTCTCTCACCTCTTTGTTATTCATAACATATGATTAGTATATGCATCCACCCTGCTCTTTTTAACACCCCGTAATGCATGCTCACCTGACTTGCATGATAAACAATCACGTCTGACTTGTGAGTCTTCATCAGTGTGGAATTTACCTTTAATTAGTGCCTGGTTCAGTGTAAAGCATTTGATGTGGTGTTTATTAACAGAAATGCACTTCAGATTCATACTTTCTATTTTGATATTTATCTGATTTAATGAAAAAATGCAAAAAAGACTCTTACTGTTTGTTGTCTTTATGTTAAAATAAGCTGCTTACGTTAAAAAAAGATATTTTTCCTGCAGTTTTTCTTCAACAATAAGAATATCATTGGCTCTAGGGTTCGGAGGTGTTGCACCTTTTCACTTTTATGGGTCGCAGAGTTTTGTGCTTTTAATCTTATCAGAATATTCTACAGATGAATGTACTGTTGTAATGTTTTGTTAATGTAACCCTTTAACATCTCACATCTTGTTTCCAATGGATACCTGGTCAAAATAGCTGCAGCATAGTCAAACTACAAAGGACATTCAATCATGTAATAGGTTAAGGAAAGATATGAATTAAAAGTAATTGCAAATATTTAAACTAGACTTCAAGTTTTATGAGATTTTTAAATGAATTCAAAGATATTAAGTTTTCCTGAGGAAATTCAGATAGAACGTTAATCCAGGCAATAGGTGCCAAAAAAACCTCAAACCATTATTCGCCTGTTCAGTTGTTACTTTTTATTAAACAAGGTTGGGATTTCCTTTTCAATGGGGATGGTAAATAGAGTTCTTTAAAACATAGCTTTGACAGAGGCAGCAAACATGTAGGGATGACCATTTCCATGAGTAATGATGAATGAGTAACCTTAGCCAGTAAAACACCTCACCACCCTTAGCATCCATAATGTAGAGACAATAAGCTTATTTAATTGTACCTAATATATACAAGGGTCACAGCTAACGATTATTTTTGCAAATCGATTAATCTGTTGATTATTTTTTCGATTAATCGATTAACAATCGGATAGCCAAAGATTCCTCAAAGAAGTTTTTTTTGCAAAATGTAACCAGTGGAGCAGATTGACAGTCAAAGGATGTTTTTTTTATCTGAAATGAACCCCAGTGGGCCTCAGCAGATGGCCGCTCACACTGAGCCTGGTTCTGCTGGAGGTTTCTTTCCTGTTCAAAGGGAGTTTTTCCTCTCCACTGTCGCTACAAGCATGCTTAGTGTGAGGGATTGCTGAAGAGTCAATGAGTCGATGCAATCAGCTGGTTTTCCTTAGATAGAAAACTTTGAATCAATCTGACTGGATGATCTGGTGAACTGGAAAGTGACCTGAGATGACATGATGTGAATTGGAGCTATAGAAATAAACTGAATTGAATTGAAAATGCAAAAAGTTTATATATATTTTTTTAACAATCTTGGTATAATTCCTGCTCTAAGTGGGTCGCTCTGTCAGCTAAAGGTATGTTTTAGAGTCTCTATACTCCAGTTAACGATTAATCGAATACTAAATAAGTTGACAATTATTTAAATCATCGATTAATCACGATCTGATTAATTGATTCAGCCCTACTATATATCCATATTAAAAAAAAACAGCAACATTTGATCCTGCTAATAATCTTACAGAGAGGGAAAATTACTTATTTCTATAATAATATTCTAATAGGAGCTTCATTTTTTGTGAGATAAAGATGAAATGACATTTTTTATCAGTTTAAAATTCTAAATGCAACTCCAATATTTAAAAAAAACGTATGTAGGTAGGTAGTTTATATATAGAAAAAGAAAAACTTCATACTTAAGCCTCGCTATCCCCTATAGATTATAATAAATACGACATAGGGCCGTCTAGTTATATCATCTGGGATCTACCTACCAGTTAATTTGCAATAATTTATGTAGAGCAATGCAATGTCAGCAAGATGTTCGCTTGAAATCTAATGGATGCATTCAGCTTAGAGAAATCTAAAAACAAAAATGTCGCGTCTGTGTTGCTTTAGGTAAAAACTGCTGTTCTGTTTTTTTATGACCTTAGTAGATCACAAATAAATAGATGAGCAAACA